ACATCAAATCTGAACCTATTTCTATCAAATTTAGTATACAACTTACTATTGTTAAAATATGACGCTGTGCTAAATAAAATAAAAATAAAATCAATAAAATCGACGTCAAATTGTCGGATTTATATGCAAATCGGTAATAGATCTATATGGGAGGTATAGAAAAAACTGAACCGAATTTTATAAAATTCGATCAGCTTTTAAAGAACTCCGAATAAATCTCATATACAAAATTTCGTAGTGATCGGAATATAATTGTCGGATTTATAGCCAAATCGGTTTGAGATATATATGGGGGCTATAGTCAAACAGATTTTTATAAAATTTAGTATACACCTTACCAATGTTGAAATATTACGTTGTGCTAAATTTCAAAGAAATCGACGTCAAATTGTCTGATTTATATGCAAATCGGTGATAGGCCCATATGGGGGCTATAGTGGAATCTGAACCGATTTTAATCAAATTTGTTACACTTTTAAAGAATATCGAAAAAATCTCATACACAAAATTTCATAGTGATTCGAATACAATTGTCGGATCTATGGGCAAATCGGTGTAAGATATATATGGGGGCTATAGTAAAGTCTGAACCGATTTTAATCAAATTTTTTACGCTTTTAAACAACTCTGAATAAATCGCATATACAAAATTTCGCAGTTATCGAAATATAATTGTCGGATTTATCGCAAAATCGGTATAAAATATATATGGGGGCTATAGTAAAATTTGAACCGATTTTTATCAAATTTAGTACAACCTTAGTAATTTAAGAAAATTTGTTACACTTTTTAAGAAAATTTGTTACACTTTTAAAGAATTCTGAAAAAAAAATCTCATACACAAAATTTCGTAGTGATCGGAATATAATTCTCGGATTTATTGCCAAATAAGTATAAGATATAAATGGGGACTATAGTGGAATCCGAACCGATTTTTATCAAATTTTGTATACATTTTACTAATGTTACAAAATTACGGTATGCTAAATTTCAAAGAAATCGGTGAAAAAATGTCGGTTTTATAGTCACATCGGTGTATGATATATATGGGGGGCTATAGAGAAACTTTAAGCGATTTTTATATAATTTGGACCACATTTGAAGAATACCAAAATAATTATCTGTGTACCAAATTCTCAAAAATCATCGAAAAATTTTCAGATTTATAGCAAAATCGGTGTAAAATCTATATGGGGGCTCTATGAAAATCTGAACCGATTCTGATCAAATTTGGATCACTGTTTACCAGAATATCATACACCTAATTTCCTAAAAAATTTAAACCAAATTGGCAGATTTTTCGAGAATTCGGTGAAAGATATCGGTAGCAATATTTGAATCGGAATCGAATTTTATAAATGTCGTATCCGTAGAAAAGCTCCAGAGAACTCTACAAACCATTTCAATACTCTAAAAGACCTCTAAAAGACTCTATAAAAAATTAGTAGCAGTTAATTTCCTTTTCTAGGAAATTAACTCCACAAGATCCTGTTGGTCCTAGGAAACCTCTAGAGAATTTCTGCGTTTAGACGACCAACCTCTACTAGACCATGTAATTCTAGAAGAATTTCGAATGTTTTCTGTCTATATGATATATCCACAAAACCTGCTGTGTTTTGAAGACCTCCACATGGGCCTGTAGCCCTAGCATTTTTTGGAGATCTCAAGAGAACTTCGGCGTTTAGAAGATCTACAATACCCAGTAACTCTAGAAGATTTCTCCACAAAACCTGCTGTGTTTTGAAGACCTCCATAAGGCCCTGTAGCCCTAGAATTTGTTGGAGATCTCACAAGATCCTGTTGGTCCTAGGAAACCTCTAGAGAATTTCTGCCCTCTACAAGATCGTTCTTCTATGTAGTTCTAGAAGAATTTCGAATGTTTTCTGTCTATAGGATATCTCCACAAAACCTGCTGTGTTTTAAAGACCTCCACATGGGCCTGTAGCCCTAGCATTTTTTGGAGATCTCAAGAGAACTTCGGCATTTAGAAGATCAACCTCTACAACACCCAGTAACTCTAGAAAAATTTCGAATGTATTCTGCCTACATGAGATCTCTATGTTAGACATTTGTTTTTGTCCACAACGATTTTGTTTCTGTCGCACATATCGGACCATGTTTTGGTATATATATTTGGTACATATAAAAAATCCACGCCTTGCCTAGATCCTCGAAAAAATATTTTAAAAAAAAATCCACGCCTTGCCTAGATCCTCGAAAAAATATTTTTAAAAAAAATCCACGCCTTGCCTAGATCCTCGAAAAAATATTTTTAAAAAAATCCACGCCTTTGTTAAGGCCTCCAAAAAATATTTTTATAAAATCCACGCTTTTGTTAAGGCCCTTTAAAAACTTTTAACAGTTGTTTAGTCAATCTTTCCTGGCACCCTTCCTCCCCAGCTTTGACCTCTTTGTATTCTATGCATGAAATATAAATCATATGCCTAAAAGTATGCACCTATATAATCATTTTTCAATTTAGAGTCTAAATTGATGCACTTAGATTTTTTTCCATTTTTTTTTTTTTTTTGAAAAATTTTTAAATCGATCTTTTTTAGTCACCTTCCTCCCTCTCTTACCCTTTGGTAAATCGTATTATATGCATGAATGAAATATAAATTGTATCCCTAAAAGTATGCACTAATATATACATTTTCTAATTGAGCGCCTAAAAGTATGCACTGCCTTAGTTTTTTTTTCAAATTTTTAATTACGAAAAATAGATTTGAAATTCTTTGTAGTGCCCTCCTTAGATTTTCCTTCTCCTTTTTCCCTTTTTTGGATGAAATATAAATTGTATCCCTAAAAGTATGCATCAAAAATTTTTGGTGCATACGCCTAAAAGTATGCACTGCCTTAGATTTTTTCCAATTTTTAAATATAAAAAAAGATTTTAAATTCTTTGTAGTGCCCTCCTTAGATTTTCCCCCTCCTTTTCCCTTTCTTACTCTCATCTTGTATCTTGTACAACAACAACTATAAACCCCCTAACAATATATCTAGTTGACCTCAAAGTAATACTAAATGTAACTAAATTTGTTGTTGTTATTTTGTTGTAATAACTATTTCTCTCCTCTATATATTTTTTCTCCATTTTGTATACTATTGGGATCTATGTTCTATTTCTCCCTCCTACTCCTCTTCTCTTTCTATTTTCACACATTTTCCCACTAAACGCCTTTTGATATACACCATTTCAAACACACACCAAAAACCCACCCTCACCCACACAACCTTAACCTTCAATCACCTCCAAAACCTTCACCTCCGATTTCCAACTAATTACCCTTTCACACCTATTTGTGCTGCCGACCCATCACCTCACCTCACCTCACCAGACATTAGCCTCCATTACATCAACGCTTACCACCGCTTATCCACTATCCTCGCCCTCATCCCTATCACCACCACTGCCACAGTATCATGCAAGTGGTGGCAGTAATGTTAAACCACCACCCGCAAGACCCCTCTCACCTGTACGTTCGTTACATCCGAAATTCTTTGCCTCGGCTACACGGTCGTCACGGCGCACCCCACCCACCATTTATACCCAGGCGCCACAGCAGCAACCAACCACCAAATCATTACCCAATAATTTGAATTCACCTACCTCGACACAACACCATCCCTACCACCAACCGCACACGCACCTGCATCATCCCCACCACCTCCATCAGCAGGCCCAGCCACTGCAGCATGGCCACTATGAGGGGTCGTCGTCGTTGTCGTCATCGTCCTGCACCACCACCACGACCTCTGCCTGCTGTAACAGTAGAATTTGTTCCTATCACATAGGCAGTGTTCCCCCAGCCTGCAGTAGCAGGAACAATCTACCACAACAACAAATGTCCTCCTCCACCACCTCTCATCATCATTATCATACCAATAAATTTCAGAGTGATGTTGGTGTTGTCGTCTCGTCCACGTCCTCCACGAGTAATGTCATTGGCGCCATTTCATCATCGTCACCATCCAGCAGTTCCCAGCATACGCTCAAACCTTTAGCATTGCCTTTGCCGCCTAGCAGCCACACCTCCGCCGCAGCAGACAATATTGCCTCTACGACACTGTCGCACGGTTCATTGGCGGCGGACCAAATGGGCTCCGGCTCAATATCGTCAACCTCAAGCCTATATCCGTATTCGCATGGTGCTGGCGGTTGTCTAACACCCACCGGCAGTGTCGGCACCTCGACCACCACCACCAGCCACAAGAAGAAGTCCTCATTTTTGCAACGTAAAAAACCGATACTCACTCGTAGTGAGGTGAGTGACTAATTTTTTGCTTACAAACAACAAAAACAAATTTCAAACCAAAAAAAAAAGAATTTAGACACATAACCCTCAAGGTTGAACACGGTTCCGCAATTGTTCAGAGCTATTACTTAAGCACTTGTTCTTTCATTGGTTTTTAATTCTGTTCTATTTTTCTTTCTTTCATTTTCTTTCCTCCTTCTTCTTCTTTTTAATTAATCTTCTGTGCAACCATATTTGCATTTCTTGCATTCTCTCACCCACCCACTCTCACTCTCACACCTACCAACAGTCACCTACCTTCGAGTGACAATTTTCATTATCTCTTCAAATATGCTTGTGTTGTAATTTTTTGCGCCTTTTTGTTATGCTTTGGTTTTTCGGTTCGATTCGCTTACGCCTCAAGGTAGGCAATACTATTTGTTTAGTTGGTTTTTTCTTTTATTTTCAAAATTTTACGATTTTGTTGGTAATTTTGATATAAAGACTATTTTCTTGAAATAAAATTTTTTATCGATTTTTTCTTTAGGAGAGTTATCGAAATATTTCGATAACAATTATCGAAAAAATTTTATGAAAAATTCCCATATACATTGTATCTCAAAAGATTGTGCTAAAAAAATTACTAGAAAATATTTTTATCGATAATTTTGTGTGGACAAATAATCGATTATCGAACAAATATTTTATCTCTAATATCGATAATATTTTCTATAATAAAGTCGATAATATTTTCTGTAATAAAAAAGTTATCGATAATATTTTCTGTAATAAAAAAATTGTATCGATAATATTTTCTGTAAAATACATTGTTATCGATAATATTTGCAATAGAAACAACTGTTATCGATAGTGTTTCGCTGGATGATAAAAATTCTTATTATCGATAAAAAATGTATTAACGATTTTTTCAATAATATTTTCTATAAAAATTCAAGTTTTCCATACTACCATAGTCGATAATATTTTCTACAATAAAAACGTTGTTATCGATAATATTTTTAGTTGGAAACTTTGTTATCGATTATTTTTCTAAGGATGATATTACTATTAATAATATAAAAAAACGTTGTTATCGATATTATCTTCTTTGTTATCGAAGATAATATCGATTTGTTATCGATATTATCTTTTTCGTTATCGAAGATAATTTCGATTTGTTATCGATATTATCTTCTTTGTTAAGTTGTAAACAGAAATTATAATAATCGATCATGGTTTTTTAAAATAAATTATATCGATTTTATACTAAAAAAATCTTGTTATCGGTCCATATTGCAATGGAACATCTTGTTATCGATCAACTTTTCATTATACAAATTTTTATTTACAAATCAAGTTTTATAGTCATCGTTCGTGGTTTTTACACAAAATTATAGAGATCGATATATTTTCCACTAAAAATCTTGTTATCGGCCCATATTGCAATAGAAAACCTTGTTATCGATTCAGTTTTCGACATAAAATCGTTTTATCGATTCAGTTTTTAGCACAGAACCTTATAATCGATATGGTTTCAAATAGAAAACCTTATTATCGGTTCAATTTTCAACAGAAAATATTGTTATCGATAATGAAATTTGTTGACAACCCTATTATCGATCTATCGACTGTGTTATCGATTCGATTTTCAATAGAAAAAAATTCGTTTGGTTTACTTATCGTCTATGTTTTCAACATAAGATCATGTTATCGATTCATATTTTGAGAGAATCGATCCACTTTTCAATAGATATTCTTCTCATCGTTTAAGTTTTGAATAGTAAATGTTGTTATCGATCAAGTTTTGAATAGAAACCACACTTATTTGAGAGAATCCACTTTTAAATAGAGATTCTACTTATCGTTTAAGGTTTGAATAGTAAATGTTGTTATCGATCCACTTTTGAATAGAAAATAAACTTATCGATTCAGTTTTCAACAGAAAACATTGTTATCGATAATGGGTTTTGTTAAAAATGTTGTAATCGATATAATTTACGATAGAAAATCGAGTTATCGATACAAATTTCAATTGAAAACACTTTTATCTTTTCACTTTTCAACATAAAATGTTGTTATCGTCCTTGTTTTTATTGCCGATCGACCCTGTTCTCAAGAGACAATGTATTTATCGATTCAATGTTTAATAAGAAATATTGTTATCAATTCACTTTTCAATAGGAACTATTGTTATCGATCCAATTTTCAAAAGCCTATATAGTTATCGATTTAGTTTTCAACAGAAATCTATGTTATCGATAATGGTTATTATTGGAAATCTTGTTATCGATATTATTTACAATAAAAAACTTGTTATCGATAGTATTTACAAAAGAATGCCATGCTATCGATCCACTATTCAACAAAAAATGGTTGTTATCGATCCAATTTTCAGCAGAAATCCTTGTTATCGATCTACTTTTCAAAAGGAAATATTGTTATCGATCATCGTTTTCATGGAAATTTCAGTTATCGGTATAATTCATAATAATATAGAAAGATAAGTTGTGGATCAATGTCCCACCATAGAACCTTGTTATCGAACCATTTTTAAGCAGAGAATGAATTTATCGATCATTTGTTCATCAATATCATCGATTAATAAAACTTTATTGATTTTTTTATTTAGAAAATGTTGTTATCGATCAATTTTTTTCTCTGTAGAAAACTCTGTTATAGAAATTTTTCTAAAAAAAAACTTTGTTAACGGCTTAGTAATATATCGATGACAGTGTTATCGAATGTGATTTGTTCAAAAAATAATGTTATCGAGCGAGAAAACATTGTTATCGACATTGTGTCCATACAAAACCTTATTATCGGTCATTATAACTTTGCTATCGAATTTTTTCTCTCTAGAACGATGTTGTTATCAAACGATTTTTCTTTAGAAAATTTTATTATCGATATTTTTTCCACACAAAACATTATTATCGGTCATGAAACCATAGTTAATTTAACTATTGAATGTGATATCTGCAGGTAAGAATGTTATCGGCCATTGAAACATTGTTATCGACATGTTTCCTATACAAAACCTAATTATCGTTCATGAAATCATTGTTGTCGAAATTTTTTCTCTCTAGAAAAATATTGTTATCGAACGATTTTTCTTTGAAAATGTTTGTTATCGATTTTTTTCATATCGGTTAAGAAAACATTGTTATCGGACAATTTATCTCCAGAAAACATTGTTATCGAACAACTTTTTTTCTAGAAAAAAATTCTTGACGACATTTTTTTCATAAAAAAAAACATTATTATCGATCATAAAAACATTGTCATCGACAATTTTCTCTCTAGAAAACATTGTTATCGAAATACATTTTCTTAGAAACTTTTTCTAGCCGACATTTTATTCATACAAAACATTATTATCGATAACGAAAACATTGTTATCGACAATTTTCTCTCTAGAAAACATTGTTATCGAAAAAATGGTCTTTGAAAAATTTGATTATCGGAATTGTTTTTTGTTCGAAATCTTTGTTATCGAAATACTTTTCTTTGCAAAATAGTGTTATCGTTTAAATTGATGCTGTTATCGAACATTCTTTGTTTAATATATTTATTATTATGGATATTTTGGTCTGGAAAAATTTGTTATCGATATTTTTCCTTATACAAAATATTCTCTCCTTTAATTTTTTATAGAAAAAAAACCCCTCAAAAAATCCTTACCCAATTAAAATCACCTCACCTGAACATACTTGACAAGTGGTAGTTGTTTGCATATAGCCTAAGGACATTTGTTTTATATTTTCCTTCGTTCGGTGCGGCATAACTTAGCCCCCATTAAGGAATCTGTGAACACTTTCCTTAATTTCCACTTGACTGACTTCATTGGTTTATCAGCCAGCAAGCAAAAAAGGAGGAAGCCTATGGCTGAATGGTTAACGAGGAGACGAGTTGAGAGAGATGTCAGCCAAGTACTAGGGCCAAAACACGGCAAAATTTCTGTCACAGCTACAGCTGTTGTAGCTCGAAACAGATGGACAATGAATTGCATCATTTGCGAAGAGGGGTGGGGGTGAGATGGGGCATGTAGCGGGGCTAAAATTGTGATACATTGTGAAACAGCCCAAGGCACAACACTTGCACTTATTTTGCATTACAATAACAACAAGAAACAGCAGCATGTTTGAAGAATTACTGGTTTCAATAGGCGGGGCACATAGAGAGGTGTGAGATGGTAGGTGAGGAGGATGTGTTCAGGAAAATGTAAAGCTGCTTGAAGGCCAGGTAGTTGGGTAGCACAAAAGCTTTTGTTAAAGGATAATCAAGCACTTGCTGCTTGAGCATAATTTGTCTACGTGAGTTCCTTGTCAATGTGAGAGCTCTGCTTCGAAGTGATAGGGTCCATATAGGCCAGGAAAATAAACTTGCTCTTTGTTCAATAAAAAAAACACGATACGAAATTGAAAACATCAACATTGTTTGATGGCAGATACTGAACTTTAAACTTTTCACTTAAGACTTGTGTTTAGTTTCGCCTTAGCTTCGAACAGAACACAAAGACCCCCAGTTGTAAACTTCGAGATTTGGATGTCTTCTCGTAGCTATGCTTGCTTCTTCGAATGCGGATTTTTGTTGTTGTTGTAGTTTCTTATCTAGCTGATCTCTGTGTTGTTGTCTGTCTTTACATTTTCTTGATTTACAAAAAAAATCTGAAGAAAAATGTTTTAAAAGCTTTTCATGCTGCTGTTGTTGTTGTTTTTTCCTCTTCGTTGACAGCATAAATCGGATTAACGACAACAAACAGAAGTTGAATTTTTTTCTTTTTTCCAAGTAAACATTAAAATATATATTTTTTGCATTGTTTAACGTATGTCTTACATGGATATTTTATTTATTTTTATTTTAATATATCTAAAAGCTTGCCTTTCCGAAGTAGCTCAGACGGAACAAATCTATGCGAAGGAAAAATATATTTTATGTTAATGAACAAATCTTGGGATTTTTTTGTGGTTAGAGGGGGAAGTGCGAGAGATTTTCAAGGGTATTTACAATTTTAATGGCATGGGAGCGTA